TAGTGCTATTAAAAAGAAACCAAATGCTTCAGATTAGGACAATGGGGAAGATGACTCCAAGGAATCTTATGAATTGGACAAACTCTACCCACTGAGGGCTCAAGGGTATGAAAATGTAAACCTATTTTCCTGGTGCTTTAGAGATGACACAGGGTTCAGGAAGCAGACCAGCTTACTGTGGGTGATATTTGCCTTCTGATCCATCATGATGGGTCTTGTCTATAGCAGGAGTTGGTGACCTTGTGATCCTGCAGTTACTCAGATGGCCATGCAACCTGGAGCCACCAGGCCTGGCTATTTGTCAGTTAGTTCATTAATTTACTCACCTGATGACATTCTGAAGTGTTTATATCTTTCCCCAAGTAGAGGAGCAAGTGTTATGGATCCGGATAGTCTCTCTACCCTTGGTCCTTTTCCAACAGTGGGGAGGGAAATGTTAACCAGTTATAATGAGCAATCATACAATGCAGTAAGAACTGTGAAGTAAAGTGTGTGTTGTTTCACGAACTCTGGTCTAGGCAAAAGAAAAGGGAGAGGGAGTTTGTTGAACTCTGGAGAATAACCAAGACTTCACTTGGGTGGTGAGAAGCTGCGATGCAGGATTGAGAGGAAGGCAGAGAAAGAGAGAGAAGAAGGATTCTCTGCAGTGGTCCATGGCACTGGAGCCCACAGCTGAAAGGAGGGAGCATGACTCAAGCTTGAGATCTCTGCCCTTATTCTAAGCAAGAAAAGGCAGTTAGAGGGTCTAACATGATCAGATTTGCACATGAAAGTTGCCCTTGGCTGCATAGTAGAGAACAGATGCTCCAGAGCGGGGATAGAGTCAGAAGACCAAAGAAGTGTTGTCATATCTTAAAATATGGTGTCCTGTAGCAATGATTCTATTTGACCCCTTGTGAACCCTGATACCTTTATTTGTACACTTATGCATTCAAAATTCAAGATATAGAGGGTGTATTAGCTACTGTCCTCACTGCATTAGCTACATTCCTACTCTCCACATCCAAAAACACCCAAGAGAAGATTTATTTAGGGTCACATATTCAGAGCATTCAATCCATAGTGCATTGATTGATTCTGGACCCAAGGTGAAACCCATCACTGTAGCTATGGAAACAGGTGGAGGAGGAGGCAGTTTACCTCATGAAAGACAGGAACCAGAGAAAGGGGCAAATAAGAAGATGCCAGAGCAAGAAACAGTCCCCAAGGACATAACCAATGTTGACATTCTTCCTCCAGGCAAGGCCCCATCTCTTAAAGTTTCCAGAACCAAGCCTGGCGGTGGTGACACACGCCTTTAATCCCAGCACTCAGGAGGCAGAGGCAGGCGGATCTCTGTGAGTTCGAGGCCAGCCTGGTCTACAGAGCAAGTTCCAGGACAGGCTCCAAAAGCTACACAGAGAAACCCTGTCTCAGAAAAAAAAAAAAAAAAAAAAAAAAAGTTTCCAGAACCTCCCAAAACAGTGCCACCTACTGGTGACCTAGCATTCACACACCAATAACGGGGCATTTTAGATCCAACCATGACAGAAGGCGACTGTCAGAAGCTGCTTACATAATTGACTTTCTGGATTACTGAATGATCTCTTAGCCTCCATTGTGCCCTGGACCCCGTTTCAAAGGAAGAGTCTCAGAATCCCACACAATATGAACACACGAACAGGACTGGGCTAGTCAGACACCTGGACTCTCACCTGGGCTGCCTTGACTCTCGGTTCCCTGGGTCTTATTTGACTTTTCACAAATTACTATTAAGGATTACATGAGGCACATAGGAAAAGAGCAGACAAGGACTCAGAGAGCAGTGTTTCTATCCATCTATCTAGCCAGCCCACAGGGCAGCTCTTTAGCATCAAGAGGAAGAGGCACATTAGGATGAACATATTTGCCTTTCATTTCCTGTTGTTTTGTCTCCTGTGACTTCCTTTGAGGAATCTCATCTTGCTGGAAGGACCTACTTTAGGTTCCCCAAAGCAGAAACTGGGAAAAATCACTGAAGTTAAAGGGTTTTTGTACCCTTACAGATGCTGGGCAGGAAAGATCCAAGTTCTGGGCAAGCGTCTCTCTGCCACCAGCTGCAGGGTGGGACAGTGGTTGGAAAGCTGTCCCTTGGACTTCTAGCTGAGAGTGTTTCTAAAAGGCTGGTGAGGTGGCTTGATGGGTAAAGGTGCTTGTGGAGAAGCTTTCCAACCTGAGTTTAATCCCAGAAACCAACACGGTGGAAGAAGAGAACAGACTCCCACCCCCTGCAAGTCCTCTGACCTACATATACCACACACACACACACACACACACACACACACACACACACACACACACACACACACACACATGCGCAATGTAGTAAAAGTAATTTGAAAAGACTATTTCTGCATTGAAAATTTGGAGTTGAAAACAATGTGTTTTTCACATGGAACATATACTACACTGACCTCGTAGACTGGCAGCAGTCCCCCTGGCCATGGAGAAAGCCTTAGGGACAGGGGGACAATTCAGAGGGAGAAGGAATCCTATTCTGGTTTGCCTGTAGCTGTAAGACATGATAACAACGACTGACATGCAGCTTGGGATTTGAAACTGGGTTTTACCATATATTCAGGAGTATGGAATAGTCTTTTGTTGTTTTTGCCTAGAACTGTCAGCTGATTGGCTCCTCTCTCCTCCAACACCTTCTGCACTTAGGATTCCATTTAGGGCATCTTGTAATTTTTCTCATCTTAGGAAACATCCATTCTTTTCGTCTTGAGAAAGTAGGTTGGTATCTTGGATATTCCGGTTCTGAGCTTGTTTCCAACAACACATGAGTTCTCTGAATGCTATTAAAGTCTGTCTGGATTTAAGGAAAGACCCAGGCTGGTGCTTTTGAAAGAAAGGTAACTCTCATGAGTGATGCCTCCTTATCTCAATGAGCTTGGGTCCAGAGAAGATGACTTCAAAGAGAAGACCTGTGCACATTCTTCTGGCTTGATTTGGGAGTTCAAAATCATGTTCAGAACATCTATAAAGATGATAGATTAAAGGAGATCCTGGGTGTCTTGGACCCCCAGAGCATTCTCAGCTGCCCACTGCCTGTGTCTCCACTCACTGCTTTGGGCCTCTTGTGAGTATCACTTTCACATTCTTGAATTACAAGAAATGACAAGAAAGTTTCACTCACAGGGGATGATAGAGGTTCCACCAAACCCGTCATGTGGCCAGCCTCATAGCTGGCAAAAATTAATTGATTTCTGAACTTATTTCCACAACTACATGCTAACTCAGTCTCCTCTTCTTAAAAAGGGCAACTTGGGTACCACAGGCCGGGGAAGAAAAACTGACCCAAATATCATTAAAAGAAAATCCTGCTCTCTTTCTTCACAGTTCTGTCCTACCCTACAGCACCTCTTCTGACTCTCCAAATAATAATTGGGCATTAGAAGCTGGCTGTGTGACCTCAGTTAACAACTATTAAAGGCTATCTGGACAGTGCTTTTGAAAGAGAGCTAACTCTCACATGTGGTGTGTCCTCATTTCAGTGAGCTCGAGTTCACTGACGATGCCTTCAGAAAGAATGAATGGCCAACTGCTTCTTCAGTTTGACCTGCTTTCTGAATGGTGCTTGAAACCCATTTGCTATCAGCACCATCATTTGATTGGAGGGAATGTACAGTATGTAGAGAACTACCGACAGGTCTAGTCACTAAACGCCCGATCTACGACTCAGAAAAGGGACACGTGGGACGAGGGGCATGAGGGAGGATTGGCTTCACCCCACATCACTACAGTGACATCCATGTTTGGCTGCACTTTATCTGGCTTTGCCCCTTCCCATAGAGGCTGGGACTCTGTCACAAGGGCCGGCTTCTCACACAGAGAAGGCAGACATTTCTAAGAAGACTGCACAGGTGGCAGGCTCTACCCACTTGAGACCCTTCCAATGTGCCCAACCAGTTCTTCATAACTGCTCACAGCTCAATGCTAGGGCAGGTGGGGTTTGTCCACAGAAAGGTACCATCCCTGCTCAAATCCTCCCAGCTTACAGTGGGTGGGCATTTTAACTTACAAAACCCCTTGTCTATACTCTGACTTTCAAACTACAAAGAAAGTAAAATAAGGACCATTATCCTTATTTTCAAACTCAGAGCTCCAGGGATTTGCTCAGGGTCACATAGTTGGGACTGGAATTCAAGACTCTTGCTTTTAGTACAGCCAGTTTATTCCCACCAGAAATGATAGGTGCTTTCCCAAACTACCAGGAGTCCTTAAGCACACCCTGCAGGCGTGGCTGCAGGTGTTTGCCATGTTTAAACAGAAAAATCTAATAAGACAAGAGTACGTCTGTGTTTTCTCGGTGAGAAACCTTCTGCAAATCATTCTGTTGTTGGTGCACTAATACTGCTGTTCACCTGCCTCTAATTGCTTTTGACTGCCTGAAACCTTTACAGTGGCCCTTTTCATTGTTTATGCTTCAATCAGCAATGTGGTCATTGTCTTACACTCCTTCCCCCAAAACTGGAATTGCTTGGATCAGGAAGACAAGAAGTCCCTGGGAATAGGTTGTATGTTTTTACTAACTTATTTAGCTACGGCTCTAAACTTCCAGAAAAGGTTTAGAGTCATGAAGCTTTAGATTTTACGTAGCATTAAGTCAATGGGTCAGCAGCTAGGATGGAACAGGTCTCCAAAAGGGGTGTGTGCAAGCCTTCTAGAATTGTGTACAGAACTGAGTAGTCATAGGGTTGGCACATTTTAGTTAGAGTCCAGCCTGCATAGACTGTCAGCTCTCCAAACACTTTCTCAAGAGAAAATAAAATCTAGAATTCCATATAGATTTTCTGGATTTGATTCTTAAATATTAACAGCTAATTTAATTAACTTAAAAAGTCTTTATGGGCCAAAACAAAAACACGAGCAAACCAAAGCCAAATAGTGCAAGGTTTGTGGCTGTTCATTTGTCAAACTTTGTTCTTTATAATGCTAAGCAAGTGGGGTATTAGGAGAGATGTTCCAGGACACAGGGATGTGTGCAGAAGCATCTTTATTTCTGAAGTGTCTTGCATTTTTTACATCTTTGTAAGGAGAACAGAAGGAGAGAAAGGAAAACAGCCAGAGCTTGAGTATACACAGAACTGTCCCATGCTCCCCTTCTTGGGTCTGAGCACTAGGTTGTCTGCTTTTCTTCCATTTAATACTCCTCACATTTCCCCTGTCAGCTGTTTGGTGGATGAAGTCTATATGCAAAGCTCCCACAGGCACACAGAGATTGCTGGCTGCACAGGAGTTAAATGCACACCAGTATTCACTAGATCACACCACCTTCTATATAAGAAAGTGTATTGGAGTCTAATTAAGTGAGATGCTGAAAATATCAGAACAACCTTCAACTGGCCTTAAATTTTTTAGAATAAATTCCTCACAATCACTGGTATTTATTTACCTACCATTAGTGATGACTCACTTATGACATAATTCACAATTGTCAAGACAACCAATGTAGTTAAGAACTCTCATTTTGAACAATAAAATTAAATGTAAGACCTACACAGACCAACACTCTCGGCCTCCAACGTCTTCAGCTATCGCACGATAGACGGGCTGCTTCCCCTTGAACCTTTATAGCATCTGTAACGAGGGTCTTCAGAGCGTGACCAGAATTGGACTCACAATGGAGAAAGGAAGAAATGAAAAACCATTTCATCAGAACATTCTGTGAGCTAGAGACCAAATGTTCTCACCAGTCTTACTGGCTGCGGTGGCCCTGGGGGACTTTCGCATGGGCGTGGTTGGTGCTGAGTCAGACTCTGCCCAGCCGCTAAGCCAGGAGGAGGGACCCTTTCTCATCCATGTTCTTTGCTTGCAGACACTGATCCCTGAGCTCTCACCTTTATCTCTTACTTTGGAAAAATACACTTCTCACTGAATGGAAAAACGGAAGTTCAAGAAGTGGGGCTGGAAAGCAGCCCAGGAGGAAAGATCAGGAGGTGACTGGCAAGCTGGCCAGTCGGTCTCCTGGGGAGGCGGCGTCTAGATCTTAGAGTCACACTAGGACAAAATGAGAGCAGAGACAAATCTATATTTTTTTCTCTAGGTCACCATAGGGAACCGATCTAACCTATTTGCTCGCAACCTCGGGGGAGAGGTCTTTAAATAGCTATTGTGTCGCCGTCCTTTTCATCGTCTTCCATAATTACTCTGGGGCTCTCATCTCCGAGCAGAGTCAAACCTGCAAAACACAGTGGAGACCCACAATTGAGAATGTCCAGTGGAAATATCAGACAGCCCCGGAGCACCAAGACTGCTCTCAAAGGCATAGTGACCCAGAAATGCTTCTGTGTCGGGGAGAGAACCAAGTGGCCTTATTTGACCACTGTAGAGGTGTTCAAGAGGACACTACTCTGGATGCAAGGGGGGACAGAGGCCCTAAGCCACGGCCCATGCACACAGGGATTTAGGAGGCCTGCTGTTGGGGGCTTCGGCTCAGTCACTCCTTTCATCTAAACTGGGCAAGGTAATGTTTTGTCGAAATGTTCTGTTCTCAAGTGTAAACAGGGGACACTAATACTCATTACGAAGAGGATTTGTATCAACTAATAAGATGTTTGTAACACGCCAGCAAAAAGTCACCTCTGTGGGCCAGTGAGGTGGCTCAGGGAATAAAGGGGCTTGCCATCAACCCTGGCAGCCCCAGTCTGACCATCAGGACCCGTGCAGTGGAAGGAGAGAATAATTCCTGCAAATTGTCCTCTGACCTCCACGGGCCCAGTGGAGAACATGTGCTCCCTGCCACCCCCACTTCATAAACACATATTATAAAAAATTTAAAGCCACATCTATGATTGGCTAAATGATGTTTTTTGTTTTCTGTTTTATTTTTCTGTGATTTGTTAGTTTATTTCCCTTTTGAAAGGAACAGTAAGACTTATAAAGGCAAATGTGAAAGCACCAGAGAAAATATTGATCTCTGAATGTCTGCTCCCCAGTGTCAACCCTTGGATGACAGAGTCCACATACTTAAGAGCAAAGGGAAGAATCTACAGTGCAGTGTATGTTCATACATGGTATGGCCACACCTTAGAGCAATTCTTTGTTTGGAGATAGAATTAAAATATCCCCACTTTTTACAAAATGTAGAGATGTTAGATGAATCCTTACTTAGACAAAATATAAAGTTGTTCTTCCAAGGATTCCCTGGCCTGTGAAATTCAGAAGATTTAATTTATTTTTTCTTATCTTTCTCTTTCTTTCTTTTGCTCTTTCACATTCTTTCTTTTTTCTTTTTGGAGTATAATTTTTCAGGACTGATCAGTTCAGAAAAGGCCAACAAAGGAGACTCAGGTGGTCCTGCCCATTCTGTGACAGACAGTAGGGCCATTTTAAGAAATGACACCTGCACCCGGGTCAAGCCCAGTCCTTGGTAGTTTCTGTCGTTTTCCTCTCGTCCCCAGGCACGTGTCCCAAGCACAGACTTGCACGGCCTGCCTCCACTGCTCTCAGTGGAGACCTTGAAGTCCACACAGCACTGCCCAACGATCTGAACGTGGGGAATGAAGTTGTGCTCTGCAAGGGACTTTCCCACAGCCCGGGCCTCCATTCAGCATCAGCAAATTAATGAAAACTATGTGTGGGTCTTAATGACTATTCATTCGATTCAATTCTCAGTTTGTTTATATTTTTAACCAGTTAGCTAGTAATTATTGGAGGAGAAAAACAATTTCAAGTCTGGCTAAAGCCAAAGCTTTTGCATAAATCACTTATAAAGCACAGTTGGAGAAGTTTTCTCTTATCACAGTGGCATAGAGTTAAATTTTTATTTACAATTAAAGATAGTATGCCAGCAGCATGGAGAATTAGCTATGTTGATGGACTTCGGGTAATTTAAAATGGGCAAAAATATTTTAATTCCTATGTTCAGCCACTTTCTAGTTACTTTGGGTACCCTTGAAATGTAGGTCTAGAAAATCTGGGCCAGAAGGTGGGGAGGAGGCTCTGGGACAGCAATAATAGCAGGAACATGTTCAGTGGTAAAGGCTGGCCTTCCCTGAAGTGGGACAACCTGCCCACAGGGGCACAGAACATAGTTTCATGTGCTAAATGAGCTGCCACTTTATATCAACACATGAAACACTGGTTGGAATATTATATGAGGAAAAGATATGGGATGTACTGTGTTCGGGCTCTTAATAGAGCTCCCAGTCGCTGGTGAGGTCAGGAGGTGGTGGCGTTGTTAGGATGCAGGCCTATCAGAAGGAAGTGAGATCATTGGGGGAATGCCCTTGAAGGGCATGGACAGCCCATCCCCATCCTGTCTTTCTGTTTTCTTCCCAAGCCACTACAAGGTGAAGGGCTTTGATCCACCATGCACCTCGCTTTGCAATGTTCCTTCCTACCACAGGCTCAAAGGCAGCAAAGCCAAGCAGCTATGGATTAAAGCTCTGAAGATTTGAGTCAAATGTTCCTCTCCTGAAGTTGACTTTCTCAGGTGCTTCATCACAGTGTCAGAAGGATGACTTGTGAAAAAGCTCAGAATAGTCTTGACTATCTGGGTATCCTGTTCAGAGGATCCATGTAGGGATGGGTACCTGGGACCATTGCTTCTTTTGTCCTTGTTGATGGCTTGAGGACAACCCACTCTGGGAAACGCTAATGTGATGTGTCTTCCTCCTGGTTTCTGTTTTCCTGAGGAGTCAGAACTATGTCCCGGAATGGAGGGAGACACAAAAGCCAGAGCGCTTCCCTTGGTCATCAGGCACCACTGAGGAGCTCACTCAACCCACCCAAGTCTCAGCTTATCCAGTTGGGAAAAATAAATTGCATTTCCTCTAGGGCTTGATGTTGCAAAAGAGACTTGTGCCTTTAGAGAGACATGGACCTTCAACCCCCTTTTCCTTTTAATTTTTCATGTGTTTGTATACATGCATGTGAGTCTATATGTTTTTGCAGTTACATGTGTGCACACGTGTGTGTGGAGGCAAGAACTTTATATCAAGTATCTTCCATAATCACTCTCCACTTTATATGCTGAGTCAGGGTCTCTCACTGAACCTGAAACTGAACAATTCAGCCTATCTAGCTAGCCAGCTTCCTTTGACATCCCTTGTCTCTATTTCCTGAGCCTTGGGGGTAAAGACGGGCCTCCATGCCCCCACCCAGATAAAAAAGCAGGGATCTGGAGATCTAAACTCAGGTCCTACACTTCATCCACTGAACCTTCTCCCAAGCCCAGGCCTACGTTCTTTAATGTTCTAAGAATACCCTCTAGAACCTCTGCTAAAAACCACTGTGCATTGTAGGAATCCTTGAGCAACTTCAACTTCCCAGCAATCCCCCACACCTGCCACCTAGCACAAGACTCAGACATAGTAAGATCTAGCAACTACCCACTGCTTTCTTTCTGTATAGAGCAGAATTTAGAGTTCAGGAAACTTTAGTGTTCTGGGTCAAGGTTTCTAGTCCTGGGACTTTGTGGGGTGTTCATCATGCTGTTTCTGAGCAAGATCCCACCTAGACATCATTCAGACTTAGCTATCTGCATTAAGTATATGCTCCTTAAACCTTGGGGAGCCCTGACAAGGTGTCCTCATAAACCAAACTCGGGGAATCTTTTCCCCCGGCAGGGCAGACACGTGCTATTTTCAGAAGAGGTTCCACTCTTTCCTCTGTGTAAGTGCTCCATTTCCATCTCGGGCCTCCAACTGGCCTGTAGGTGTTTGCTCTTTCCTGCTGCATTATCTTTCTTTTGTTTGGCTCTTTCTGCCACCAAGGTAAACTAAAGTACTTCTTCCTCTCTTAAGCAGTTCTTGGTACCTGGCTCTGACCAATCACAAACAATGCTCCCTGCCATGCAGTTTTCAAGATGGATTGCTGGCAACTGTGGGCCAAGTTCAAACAAAGCCTGGGCCTGGCAGGGAAGCCTTAGAGGGTCTATTCAGGCAGTTGGACTTGTCAAATAAGCTCATTAACCTAAGGGAGTGAGATGGTTAGCACGAGATTTAGAAGGGAGAGGGAATCCTTGTCCAGTTTCCATTTGCCAAGGGTTAATGAGCGATGTCTCTATGGTGTGTTTGCCTGTGAGCTTCTCTCAACACCCTTATTAGAACCAGCATGAGTCTTTCTGAATACCTGCCAAAGGCTCCATCCTTTTTAGCTTAACTAGTGTTGTGGTTACTGCCAATTCTTTACATACTAAAAGACTCCAGAAATAAAGAACCTCAGCTGCTACAGTAGGGAAAGCCAGGAGTAACAGCAGTGACTGTCACTGAAGGTACTTACAACAGAGCCTCACTGACTCAAGGAATTTCACCAAGTCTATAGAGCCATTGTATGTACAACACCTTGTAGACACTACAGTCCTTGATCAGCAGTTTTGACTCAGTAGGGAGGCTGCTCCTTTGGGATACAGGTAGGATGCAGGCAGCATCCATTGTCATGGGATCATAACTGAGTATTCAGGAAGGAAGGCATTTGCATCAAGATGTAAAGTTGTGTATCCGAGAGAATTTTCCTTCTTCATCTCCCTGGCACATTCCCTTCCTAGCTTGACGCCTCATTTCATTTGTCCCAGCAGATATCAGATGATCTGTTTGTTTATGTGACTGTGGACTTTCCTCCAGTACTAATTCCCAGGAGCTAAGTACTACCAGATAAACACTCACGGAAAGAATGGAGATAGTGTGAGGATGGACTGCTGCATATTCTAACTTTCCCACACTATCGATATATGTGAATTATCTAAGGAGGATGCATCTAGTCAGAGTTCAGAATGGCTAGTTTCCAAAGGTGTGTGGGCTGAGCGAGCAAGCAAGCAAGTGAGCAAGCAAGAAGACGAGCAGTAGACTCCTGTTCTAATAGGGAGCACACTTGCTTCATTCCCCATTCACTCCCCAACTTGTGTGTGAGCTTCCCAGGTACAAGGATAATACCTCGTTACATTTTTTCATGTAATTTTCTGACACATATTAAGATAGCTATCAATATCTGTGCGTCTCCTCTCTTTCTTCCTCCATCTCTGTCTCCTGTCTTGAAAATCAGTCCCTAGAATTTGGGAAATCATCCATCAGCCATAACATGCCCAATCCACCTAAGGTGGGGAAGCAGGAATTTCACCTATTCTCAAGGTCCCACTGACATTTCTGTTTCACTGACTCAGTGAATTTGACCAGGTCTGCTGAAGCAGGAGTTATTTCTGAGCCTCCTCCACCCTCATGCCGGCCCTGGGGAATTGCCAATGAAGGAAAACCCGGAAGGCAGCAGTAAATGCACTCCTCCCTGGGGTACCTGAGTACTACACAGCTTGCTGGGCCAGACATAGGCCATGCCCCTCACACCTCCAGATGGTAAGGCTCCAATCTGCTCCCATCATGCTTGTGAATGTTCTATACCAGCTTTTTTTTTCCTTTTTTACCTGTGACAAAAGGAGGCACGTGCAGGGCAGGTGTGTCTTTTCTCCTTGGCCTTTTCTGTTCCATGTCAGTGTTGTGAAGAGCTGGGCCTGTTTTGCCCTTTGGAACTCTCTCTTGGACATCATATCTTTTAATTAAGTGTTCTGAGATCACACCTGCATGGTTAGAGGAACAGAAAGAGGAACAGGGTCAAGTCTACAGATCCTAAGGCTGCAGGGGTGTGCCTAGGTACCTGGTGGACTGGTCGGTGGAGAAGGCAAACAATGTAGCTTTTCAAATTTGCTTGAAAAAAAAGTTTCCTGTAAGTAAGTGAGAATCATTTTTATTATTGGGTGTTTTTAATGCCTGGTTTTCTTTTGACTGAGGAACTTGATCTTGCTGCCACTGTCCCCTAGCTCAGGAAAGAGAGGCAGAGAAACACCTCTGACTTGTCATGGCTCATGCAAAGGTGGAGCCCATCCTCTATACCTAGGAGGGGACATATTTCTGTCCGGCAAGCTGTGGGTTACACACGTTCATCCTGATTTTTTATTCTTCTTCTCCCTTCACTGACTTTCACCCAGTTGCCTCCTCTATCATGTAGGGAGGGAGGCTTCGTGTGGTGGCAATTCTCCCTCATTTCATGTTTCTGTAATAGCCCCTTTTATGAATGTTTGCCCAATTACTCCTCAGACATAGATCTGTGGTTTTGAACTAATAACTTCCATTACAATGTTGCTTCTTGATGCACATTTCACCTAGGTGTGCACTGTTCACTTAGTGTCCCTCAGAGCATGTTGTGAGTAGTAGAAAGATAAAAAAATGAATGGCCAAAAGTAAAGGAGACGGGCAAACAAAACTGTGGAGAATAAGCCTATCACAGGACACGCGGAAACAGTACAGTAGAAATGTTAACTGTCACTTTTTTTTTCTTTCTGGGTCTGGATCTCCAGTGCCATTCTAGCCTCCTCCATGGTCAGGTGACACCTAGGGCTGGGGAGACCCATCTCATATGGTCCTTCCCATCAATCTTCCATCCTGATCCTACCCCGTGGCTGCTGGATGTAGACGCTCATGGTAACTTTGGAAGCTTGTGTGGACTTTAGTCTCTATGTGTTGGTGATGCCAAACCTCACGAGCCTGTGACCTTGAATTTCCAAAACGTGGGGCACCTCCTTGTCACCAATCCCCACTGCTACTGAGAGAAAACTTCTACATTGTAGTTTACATATGCTACTTCACAGCACTGTTAGTAGTTTAGACTTTAACCCAAACGTTTGACCCTTGAATTTCTTGTAGATGGGTGCAGCCTGCCAGTGGGTTCTTGCAGTCATGCAGAGCAGTGTGTCTTGCCCCTTACCTGGTATGAAAGGTGGAATATGCAGGGCCGGTGTATCTTTCCTCCTGGGTTTCTTCTGCTCTGACTCAACATTCAGAGTGGCCTGTGCGTTCTTCCCCTTTCTCGGCTTCTTTTTGATGTCACAGTCCTTAATGAACTGGTCTGAAAGGTCATCTGGTTTCAAGGAGGAAAAGGAGTAACACAAATAAGTCTTGAGCCACAACTGGGGGTCTCTAACCATATCCAATGTTAGGGACAGAAGCCATTAGGCCTGAAAAAGAAACGTGTTTATTTTTATCTCATCAATGGAAGAATTGGACAAACGTGCATGTTTTTGTTTATAGACTAGAAAATTAGAACTTGGTAAAGGTTGAAAAGTGTTTAGCGTTTATTATTATTTTATGTTTGTTGGGTTTTTTTCCCCCCTGCAGGTATGTCTGTGCATGCAGTACCTGCAGAGGCCAGAAGGGGCATCAGGATTCTACTGAGACTAGAGTTTACAGATGGTTGTGAACTGTTACATGTTGGCTGGGACCTGTGGGCTTAACCACTGAACCATCCCTCCAGCTCCCTGGTAAAACCTTAAATTTAGAGAAATCAGGAGTCATCAAGGCAAGCAGAAACATGTGACCAGGGCTTCCAGAACTCGCTTGAGCTGAACTTCTTCAGGACAGTAAGTTCACTGTTCATAGCCTCTTTTGGTCAAGAATCGCTTTCTTTAAAGGTCCACAAGCCGTGGACAACAGAGGCTCTCTGGATCCTGGAATGCTCCACTAGAGTGAAGAGTGAATCTCTTACTTGCCTTACCTCTGTGGGCTGTCTAGTCGGGCTTCAGCATCTACAGGGCTTCTTCTGCCCTGTGTCTTTTCAAGTGTCCTCTTTATACGCTGTCTTTTGTCGGATCTCTACTTTTCACAGCCCCCTTTACTAGATCCTTTCCAGCCCAGCTTCTATGTTACATTGTCAGAGGGTCTCACAGCGATGACTCCAGACCAGTCACTAGCCTCGTGAAAGCCTTATCTTGGCTGCATCTTAAACCAGACATCTTTGTCTGCTCTGCTCTGCTCTCCTATGCATTTCCCTGCCATTATTCAAGCCCCCATCCATTGTTCTGAAATGATTAATCTTCTGCAATCTCCTGCTCCAGACAGAGTCATCAAGGAGACAAAGATCACAACCTTTTTGGAATTTTGTTCTTAATTGCACCCCTCTCCAACAAGTGTGCTTTAAATGGAAGTTGGACAACTCTGTTCACACCCTTAGTCTCTCATTTGTTGATTCTAAGAACTTGGGACTTAATTTCTAGACGTGTTGATATCATCTCCACTGCTTTAGTGGGGAAGATGTTAAATCCATGTGCATGTGCTTTTGTGGATCAGATTCATGTCACCTGTTCAGTATCCCGCCCACTGTGCAATGGCTCAGCCCGAGCTTCCAGCAGATCAGCAGGGAGCTCCAACCTTGTCAGTCTGACTTCTGAACCACAGCCCTGACCATCCTTTCTCATCTTCTGAATATTAATAGCATCTTTGCTCAGGTAATATTTTAAAGAATGATGTCAGTATTGTTGCTGCCATTATTTTGTGTTTTTTAGATCATTTCAGCAGCCATGAATTCATATTTGTTCAATATATTCTTGAATAAATGGACTCAAATGGAATTAGTGGGAAGAGCTGTTCTACTAGGATTCAATGAAGCTACACAGCAAAGAACCCGCATGTTTTCTCTAAGAACTCATAACCTTGGCTTGGATACAGTGTGGGTATTTCTAGAAATGTGAAAGAATGTGGGGAGTTCGAGGTTAGCCTTTCGGCACTTCCCTGCCCCACCCACCTCTCTTCTCCTTTTCCTTTGTTTGCTCTCTTTCCTTCCACTCTGCCTTATCCCATCCCATATTTCCCTGTGTAGCCCAGGCTGCCCTTGAGCTTAGGATCATTTTTGCTTCACCCTTCTAAGTGTTGAGGTTACAGGTGTGTATGGCTGTACCCCACTCCCACTTTTCTTCCCTGCTTTATGTGTGGGGGAAATGTTCAGAAAAACTTCTTTAAAATATTGAAGATTAAATATGTGAACCTTTTATTTCATTTTTGTGGGTCTAGACATATCCTGTGTCATTCATTACTCTATTCAGACAACATTTCTTAACCTCCTAGTATCTGTCAAGTCACTTATTAGATTATTCTAGGGATAAAATGGTAAAAAATTATTCTTGCCTTCAAGTTGCTTATAGTGTGTTGGGAAGATCTTTCATAGTCCATATGTTTAAGGAAGTTACACTAGAAATTTTTAGTAAATCATTCACCATGGTGCTTGAATCATCAACCATCATCATATACAATCAGAACAAAAATCAGATGTCATGGTTCTCCTTGGTGACACTGACAGTGAGCTTTTCCTTTAACTGGAAGATATTGATGATGTCACCCCATAGTCTCGATCTAATCAACACTTATTGAGGCTGTACTCTGTGAGGGCCCTGGACTGTGTGAAGTTCACATAATAAGAAAAGGAGTTGTGGTAGATTTTACCCATTTCATTGTAGCACGTGGGCTCCCCCAGCTTACCAATGCCTATGTTTTGTCAGTTGTTCGACATTCATTTCATTCCGGAACAAATTGTCTCATTTAATCTCCACACTAAGCCTACAGTTATTCTACAATCATCTCCAGTTTGCAGATCTGGCCAGGTTATTGATAAGGATCAAGCTAGGCTCTTGGAGCTTTTTCTCAGCTATCTGGTCTACCTGGCTAACACTGCAATTCTTCAAAGTTGTTGCTACATAGTAGTTTATTCACCCTTCCCCATGTTATACACACTAAAGGCATTGATTAAATGATGTTACTTAGGATGGTTGCTGCCCAGCTGTGGGTCCCTAGGGTCATAGTTTGCATACAAATCTATTAGCGGTTGGCTACCATCTAAACCCAAGGTGCTACTTGGCACCTAGTACAAAGAGCAAGATATTTGTTTCAATTTTGACTTTCATTTCAATTGTAATTTTCCTTATTTTTGGAGGAATCCTGAACATAAAATATCTTAAAGGCAATCGAGGAGAGGGGAGACGAGAAGAGTCATAACCAGACAAGGCATTAACAAAGGCTATGAATATGCAAAAGGCCCATCCATCAAAAGTCTGAGAGTCTCATTTTTAGAAATGGGTAGAGGCAGAAATGTTTCTGGTGTTTTCATTACAAAGGTTATGCAAAAAGTCAGTTCTGGAAAGGAAACAGATTGACAATAAAGCAGAAAAGGGCTATTTAAAATTCTGTCTTGATAGGCAAAGAGAGATATTTGAAATATTTTATTGGCACTGCACATGGGGTTTAAGTGTGCTGGAAAATACTGGAAACAAGCTATATTGCCACATTCCATTTATTGCCTCAAAAATGCTCTGCCTGGGACTCTGTCACATCCAAAACACAGGACAATGCTTCTCTGCCTCTCTCTGTCTCTCTCTAATTCGAATGAACTTCTCTCCAGTACTTCAGCTAATATTTACATGGCAGACCCCACAGACTCGTGGCTATTTGCCTGTCCATCTGGTGTAGGCTGTCACCAGAAGGCACAGGCGATCAGGTTTCAGGGGGCCTTCTCTCTGACTTGCCTGAAAACAGGATGATAGATAAACCTTCTTTGGCTTACAGGACAAGCATTCCCAAAGGAACATTTACCTGAGTGGCTGCAGTGAGGATCGAACTTGTCCAGTATGTCTTCTGAAAGCTCCAGAGGCTGCACTGGCTCAGTGGTCATCATCTCAGTGGACATCCTCAGTGGGAGAGAGAGAGAAAGAGAGAGAGAAAGATAGGGAGAGACAGAGACAGAGAGACTGAGATAGACAGAGAGAGAGACACACACACACACACACACACAGAGAGAGAGAGAGAGAGAGAGAGAGAGAGAGAGAGAGAGAGAGAGAGAGAGAGAGAGAAAGTCTTTTCCAGCTCCAGCACTGGAGAAATTAAAGGCAACAATCTGTACATAAGTATGCCTTCTGTTCATTCATTCACTCATTTATTCAATAAATACATTGAATGCTAAGTGATTATTATTGTAGGCCCCTGCTCAATCCTACTTTTTAAGTCTGCTTCTTATAGTTAATTGCTAAATTTGAAATGTAAGCCAATATCAAATGAAATACACACACACACACACACACACACACACACACACACCTCCCTATTAGAAATTGCTGTATATCAAATGTTCATTATTTGGCTAGTTAAAGGTTCCAATAAAGTCAAAATTAGAAATGAGCTGGCTAAGAGTTAAAGAAAACATCAACCATACGTCACATGTATTTTCTGTGTTGACTTCTGTAGAGTATGATTATATCTATGTAACAGATGAGGAATGGGAATGCACAAATTCATAATTAATTTAGTTGTCACACGACTTAGTTAAGCTTAGATCAAAATCTAGTCCTAGTTAGTTTTAGGCACTTTAGTCTCTTAAAAATAAAGCAAATCCTCTGAACTCAGAGTTGACTAAATAAGGCTCCTGGGTCCTCACCACTGTAATTTATAAAATAACTCAGCTGCCACCTCATGCAATTCATGAGGGCAGTAGGTACCCAGCAAGGGAAAGCTTGTTCTTTGTGAATATTTCTACTTTCTTCCTAGGGATTCCTGACATAAAAGCAAGTCTCTTCCTGTCCTCAGATTCCTGCCTTTCCTGGAACACAAATCCATGAACTTTCACCGTGATAGTTATAGCCTTGTCCAGGAGGAGTGAAATTCTGCATGGACACATGTCAAGTCTGAATGAGAAATGCATTAGCTGAGGTTTAAAGAAAGTCTTCATTAGAGTCTGTTTCTTGTGTTCCCATCTGATAATTTATTGCTGGTGTCCAGAATAACAAGGGTAGGGTCAGGGGGAAAAATGAATAAGGTTAAAATGACTGGGCTGATCCTCTTCTCCTGCGAGTCCAGAGCCTGCTACATTCAGAGGAACCACAGATCATCCACAATGACAGTTTGGGAGCCCAGAATGAATTAACTCCTTTGCCTTTCCTGGGAAGGCTGAGGGATTCTCCCCCAAGAGCTGAGGTCATTGCAAAGCAGATGGGCCATTAGCTGATCACTTGAGCCTGGCTTTTAGTGTCACTCTTAGCAGACTGTGTGAGTGACTTCAGCAGAAATCAATTCAGATCATTGTTCTTAGTGTCTGGGCAGAAAGTGTCAACTCCCTGGAACCATGAGAAAAAGTGTTGTAACCTTCTGTAGGCTATCCTCTGTGCCAGTATTTTTGAAAAGGGAAGAGTGGGGTCTATGCTGAGGGTTCGAGGAAATGTGACAGACTCAACATGGTCCTATTTAATGAAACTTCCTCCTTTCTGCAATGTCTCAGGTGTGCTGATAATCACCCCCACGGTGGTCTGCTGATAGTATCCATCCTCAGAATAAACTGAAGTTGAGAGAGTTTAGACTTACCTACCATTATTCATGACTCACAACCAGAATCATTGCAGAGACTCAGGCCCTTTCTGTACACACTTTTCAGATGTGTCTGCGATATTCCCCTTCTCCTCTCCAGCTGAAAGCAAATTGCTGCTTATACTGGGACCACATTTCCTGTGAGTCCAGTAGTTGGTTATTTACTTTGAACCTATATGTTTAAGCCAAACAGACTTGAAGTAATAATACTTTCCCCCTAGAGTTCCTGTGAAGATGGGTTGGATTGCCTTGTGTTTAACACATTGAGAGTGCTTTCTGTTGGATAGCTACTATTATTTACCTTTGTCTATGACGGTTGATGAGAACTAGCTGCATAACTGAAAAATCCTAAGAAACAATAGAAACTTGCACTTTCGTGTAGATGTAGAGCTGGGGAGAACCTGCCTTCATCTGAGATAAGCCATCTCATCAGCAGTGGACCACCAAAGGAAGCATCTATACATGGCTGGTGAAGTACACATGATCCAGGATGTTGGAGCCCCCTGGACAGACTGGGGCAGCCAATACCTCGTCACAAATCTGACAATAGCGCCTCTCAAAGACAACTCAGATTTCTTTGTCCACAGAGGAAATGATTCTATTTTAAACCGATGTGATTGAAATCCATCCGTGATGGACTACTGTTTGATAGATTGGAGGGGCTGGGAGACCATTTTCAGATCTGGGATTTTATGTTACAACAATATCAGAGACATTTGGTAGAGATATGTTTTGCCCAGAGGAGTACAAGACACTTTAATCTTGGATGATGTCATTATGACTGTCCCATCATGAAATCTTCAAAGAAAATAAAGAACTTCTAAGAATGATGAGGGAGTGTTAGATTCAGGGTTGTCTCTTTGATGGAGGTCACTTATCACTGCCTGATGAGTGTTGGTGTGAGATGAACAGAGCCCTACCCTGCTCTCCACTCCCATGCTCAGAGGAAAAGAAGCTCCCTACCATGGTGAGATACAGGTCTGTCTCATTCCTGCCCCCCCTCTGCCCATGTATTCCCCTTTTAGCTCCACCTGCATCCCACACAGGGTGTCAGAGAGGACCCTGCACTTGTCACGATGTACAGGGAAGCTTTCATTGACTCTCTTGCCTGTTTGTTGTCTGTAATTTTGGGAGTTTCTGGGGAACCAGTTATTTTCTTCCAACCTAAATAATTGGTCCTCTGGGTCCTTAGATTGCAACCCCAATGCTTAGGCCTTCTGAGGTGCTTTTTCAGAGACTACACTAGGGGTGTTTCGATTTAGTCAAGTGATTTGTGATTCCTTTGTCATTTCCTTGCTTCATGCTGTCTCAGCAGGGTCTCTGAATTCTCACTTTCACTCAGTGATGAGTGTTAGCATAGGCACACCCACCCTCACCTGAAGCCAAAAATGTGCTGGGGAAACCAGGGCATTTTCATTATGTAAGATTCCCAGAAGGGCCTCGGGGAGCTCCAGCAATCTTATGCATTATTTCTACAGCCAAATGCAAGGATTCACAATAAAGGGTGCAAGGACAAGCTCCATGAAGCTTCATCTCCTTTCAGGTCAGGTTTTGCTGCTCAGTGAGTTTATGGTGAACTATATAACAGCAGCACCGTCCTTTGTCCTTCCTGTTTTTCAGCTTTCAGATGTCTCAGAGAGTAAAAGGCTGATTATCTGAAGCATTTTCTTGGTGGTTATTGGAAAGAATGTGGGTGGCCCATGGAAAGTGTATACTAGACCAACCGTCTTAGTTTCAGGATCTTAGGGAGATTTCCAGGATTCTGTATGCTAAAATCTTGCAACTTTCTTACTAACTCTTTCCATAATGGACCCAGTCTTTCTTTTAACTGGAATACCTGCAGATGCAAATACCACTCACTGGGAGTGAAGACCCATCCACTGTTATCATACTACACAGCCAATGTTGATGACAGCTGCCACTCAATCAATCTTTTGAGACTAAAATCAGAGGGCCAAGGAGCTAGGCATCCGGGAAGATACCTCACTAAGGTGAAGAAGAGCCAGAGGGCCAGTGTGTGTCAGGATAGCTATGAAAACTCAGATGCACACTTTGCAAGGCCAATCTCCACTCACCCAGGCTACTTTCAAGGGGACAGCTGTGCTGCCTCTGCAGCTTAGCTTGAGGTCACAAGCAGGCCCAGGCATTTTGTTTGTTCTCTTAAGAGTGTAAAGATATACACTTTAACCCATGGGCAGGAAATTGCCCCAAAGGTGACACACTGAGAGGCAGCTCTAGGCAGAAGCAAAGTCTTGGTTACTTCCTCCACTGTCTAGCTGGGTAGCGAGGTATTATCTTGCAAAGTTAGCTTTCTCATCTGTGCACTTGATCCTAGCCATAAGGCCAAGAAGAGATAGCTTTTACACTGTAACTGGGTGTGCCAGATGCTGTTCCCTAAGGCAGCTGAGAGTGCCAGCATCCAGCCAGGAGCCGGGTACACACTGACCGACCCTTCTATGACCGGATGCCTTCTTTGCTCGCTTAGTTCCTGTCATTATAATGCCTATATGTAAATTACTCTAAATTGTCATACCAATCTCATCCTAGTTCTGGCCCTTTCTAAAACTGCTAATAAAATTAGCCCACCCAAAGGCACAGATCAAAGGCAGAACATCCCTTTCCAGGCCTCAAGATCAACAGAAGCTAGTCTCACAAGAGGGTGGGCATTCCGTTAGCCATACAATATTCTAAAGGACAACCCCAAACAATTAAGTCTAGCTTTACTTGATGCAATAAAAGCTTTGGAAAAATTATATCTGCAGTCCAGTGTAAATCTGGTTAGCATCCTCTCTGACTTTGCACAGTTCCTATCCCCGCCAACCTCTTTTAACTGAGGGTTGAATTCAGGCCCCAGCGCACCACATGCACAAACAGAATTTCTTCATTTGGAAGACCCGAGCCTGCACGCAGTCTTCCTCAAGGACTGCCTGGGCCGTAAAGTAGGATTCGAGGGGGAACTGAGACAAGCACACATTGCCCAGATGAGGAAGGCCTCCTGGAGTATGAAGACACACCACACTCAGTTCCAAACTTCACAAAAGCTTTTGTTTGGGAGGACACGTACTGTCAGAGAACTCAGGACCCTCGCACCCCCAGAAAATTGGTGTGACAATTGTGACTTTGCCCCAGGGATCCCCAGCTTAGCCTTGCACACTGCTTTGTCCCACCAAACACAAGGAAGCAGTAAGTTACTGGAAGCTTGCTCTGTATTTTTTTTTTTCATCACAAGAGTTCCTGGGGTAAAAATCCAAAGCACTTACCAATCAGTGCAGGTGCTGAGCTGAGAAAGCAGAGGCTAGAGGCAGTGTGCTTCTCACCAGGCCGGGCTCTTACTCCTCAGGAGCACTGCCTGCCGCTGCCCTGCTCCAGCTCCTCTTATCTAGGGACCAGCTGCTGTGGTTGCCATGGGGATGTTCTGTTTCTCAGGCACCAGGGCCAGGGGGATGGAGAGGGAATGATAACTAACTTGGTCATTCCTGCTCTCTGCAGCAACAACTGTGTATTATAAACAACAGCATACAGAGTCTATGTTGAGTTCTTAGAAATCTATACAAACCAACTCCACCTGGGAATCCTCCTAAAAATTCAGCAGCAGATTTAAAACCCTTTTTCCAGGGGTGGGGTTGCCTGGCATCACAAATGTGGAAACTGAGGCCCAGAGGTTAGCAGCTTGTCACTGAGGAGCCACAACAAATTTCAACACTGAAGCTGGTGTCCAGAGCACAGTGTCACAATGAGGAAAGGGATAATGGTGGTGTCACTCACTCACATTTACGGACTGTTAACACTCTGAGTGCCAGGCACCCTTCCAAATTCCTTTAGCCTTGACAACCTTGAAGAGAACAGCTGTGGCAACCCCCATCTTAACAGGAGAGTGAAACTGAGAGGTCACACCATCACCACAAGTGTCTCAAAGCTTTACAGATTTGTTCAGGAGGACACCAAGTCACAGAAAACTCAGGACCCTTGGAAGACAGACGTGAAAGTGGTCTTACCGTTACCAAACAGCAAGAGAAGGGCCTGAATCCAGCAGCTGATGCTAAGTCTCCGTTCCTGGCCACTCTGTCCTACTGCTTATCAAAGAACATTTCAAAAAGCCCAAAGCAAGAGAGAGCAGCCCCTGACCACACTGTTTGGAGGCCAGAAAACCTGTGTTCTTCTAAAGGAGTCAAACAAGATGTTCCAAAGGGAAAAAAAAGCATATGCAGACCACCAAAGGCTTGGGCTCAAGTAAGCTGCTAAGACACACTGGCCTGTGGGAGAGTAAAGCTCTATATTCTGGGTCAGCTTAAATACCCTTTGCCAGTATTTCTTTAAAAAAAAAAACACTTCCTGTAAAAAAAAAAAAAAAATATGAAGGCCTTTAATTCCAGCACTAAGGAGGTAGAGGCAGATGAATCTCTGTGTGTTTGAGACCAACCAGGTCTACAGAATGATTTCCTAGACAGAGAGAGCTACACAGAGAAACCCTGTCTTGAAAAACCAAAAACCAACCAACCAAACAAACGAATACATAAATAGAGGCTGCCAATGGATCGTTTGGGAAGGAAGGTTCTCATGCCTCCTTCAGAGAGTGTGACTAGAAGCAGCTCCCTGCTTCCAGCTGCCTGCCACCTCACCAACAGCCTTGCTGGCCACTCCATTAGCAGTGTCTTCCTTCCAAACCTAGGTAGAAAGGATGCATTTTCTTCCCAAACGCTTACATTTTCATTTCAAGTGTCTTTTTGAGGTAACTGTAAAAAAGCATGCAACTTCCAGAAATACATCAAAAGGAACCCTGTAATCTCCAGGTGGAAGCACCTCGACAAACTAGTACAGTGTCAGCGCTACCACATGGTACGGATGTCATCATATTCAGAACATTTCTGACATAACACGGCACCCTCCTCAGGCATGTACATAGGAAGACCTCCCTCTCACTCACCCATTTCCTTACCACCAACCTGTTCGATATTTCTGTGATTTTGTCATTTCAGCACTATGATGGGATAATCATGGAGTCCTGTAGGAGAAGGCTTGGGACTGGCACTTCTCTTTCAGTACAGTCTCTGAAGTTTCATCGCTGCCTACCCCAGTAATCCCTTCCTTTTTATTATGGAGTAATATTCTGTGATACCAATGTGCTTAACCATTCACCTCCTGAAGAACACCTGGGTTGTCCCCAATGTTTGGCTATTACAAATACAACAGCTCTGAACATTTGTGTAGAGGCTTTTGTGTGAACAAAATCTCTTGTTTCTCTTGGATAAGTGCCCAGAAGTACAATTTCTGGCAATCAAATGTTTAATGTTATGATACCATACAGCAGCTGTACCGTTTCCCATCCCCACTAGCAGAGTGTGAATGCTCTGGTCTCTCATCTTCAGTAGCTTTTTGTATTGGCACAACTTCCTAAGCACTAGTCTCATTATGTAGTGATAGCTCATTGTGATTTTAATTTGCATCACCTAAAATGACTGTGATATTAAACATTTTTCATGTGCTTATTTGTCACATATATATATTTTCTTGTGAAGTGTCTCTCTGCATCTTGACTCATTTTCTAATTGGATTGTTGTTTTTTAATTGTTGAATTTTCAAAATTCTTTACATACTCTGGATACTACTCCTTAATTAGAAGTTTAGTTTGCAAATATTTACTCATAATTTGTGCTTATGTTTTTAACCTCTTAGTAGAGTCCTTCACAAAGGGACGGTTCCTAAAATTTTACAGAGTTAAATTCATTACTAAAAAGCATGGGTAACTGAGGTATTACTCAGTTATCCTGACTCCTCAGAACTGAACTACTTTATTGTAAGGCATTCTAGCCTGTGGAAGTTTATAAATTTCTTAGTCATTTAATTCTCCACAGTTCAAAGCGTATGCATTCCTACATCTCTCTGAGTAGGCACATGCACTCTCAAGTTCAAGTTGGTGCTGCTGTGGACTCTCCCATCCTGCCCACATACATTCAACACACCCTCTAATTGATCATGTCCCTCCCCCACTCTCAGCATAGATGAAAATTGCAACTGAGATGGCAGATGGTAATGCAGATGTATGCCTCGGAGAGCTTTAAATAACAATCACACGTGCTCTGGTGAAATCACCGACCCATGGCCTGAACACTCCAGTGTAAGCGCAAGAGGCTACTGTGTCTGCAAAATTATCTGTAGTGTGCGAATCCCTCTGATAGATGGCTGAGGCTTCCACCTTCCTTGTTGGATATCCAGTACTAACTATCTCTAAATGAATGCATTTTCATTTTTGTTACAAATATTGAATCCTTATGAATGAGACTGATCTCAGAAATACACAATTCCAAACAATTCATTTCAGTTAATAACCCATGAAATGGGCCCTTAAAATATTTGCTGTTCAAAATCAATTTACCAAAGTTTTCATGTGGATGGGTGGCGTGTGTGTGTGTGTGTGTGTGTGTGTGTGTGTGTGTGTGTGTGTATGTGTGTGTGCATATGTGTGTGTGAGAGAGAGAGGGGGGGGGTGTGGGAGATCCCAGATATCTTGGAGATGTCTTGCTTGTCCGTATCTGCCTCCAAGGGAGGGAATTATCTTCCTGGGATCAATACTTTCTGGTAAACAGCTGTCTGCGCCTTTGCCCTGGGCACAGCTTTGGATACAATTTGGCTCCTGATAATGGGGGGCATTTGAATTAAGCACAAGAATATCTGATATCTAATGAATTCCTTGCACCAAAAACATATAACATAACTTAATCTTCAACTTTTCTTTCATTTCACTTGGGGTTGTTGTGAAGAAATAGTGGAGACAGAGCCTTTGTATACTGCACTCATTTCCCTCACTGGTGACACTTTGTAACACTGGTCCAGAAGGTCCCCAGATCTGAAAGAGGATGTTGGTGTTAGGCCCAGCTGCCTTCTCATTGAGATTTTCCTGTATGTCTTTTGCATGTGGGTGTGTCGAGTTCTATATTTTATCGACCAGATAGGCTTATGTATGTGCCGGTACAGTGTAGGTACATGTATGCACCAGTACAGATCAGGTACTGTATGCTCCAGTACAGTGCAGGCACTGGTGACTCCACAGTGCCACTATCCCTCTTGCGGGTCTCGTAAGGGTGCAGCCCCTCTATCTTCCCCCCCACCCTCCACAGCAGTCTGTGCAGCCACTAATCTGTCCTCTGTGGCTGTAATTTAGTCATTTCACCCCGTGTGCCCTGGCCTGACCACGTTTTCTGAAGTTCTCACTCCATCACCTCACTGTATTCTGGTTAGTGCTCATCGCACCCCCATGAGGCGCATGTTCTCACATCATGGTACCAGTGTAAAACCTCATTTTCTGGGGCTTAGGTCCTGGCCAAGGCACACAGCTACTAGGAGCAAGAGGATGGCTAGAAGCCAGGTAGGTGTCTCTTCTCCAGAGTCCATGCTGTTCTTTGTCTCACTCTGTGATGAGAACGACACTTCCTGTGTGGCCTCTTCACGGGTTCAGCTCTTCCACTCCCACACATTGTTGAAATGAATCTAGTCCATCAATGGTTCGTTCACAAACACATGTTCTCAAAGCTACACATCTGGCTTCTGAATAAAAGAGCGATCCCTAGTCAGGAGAGCAGAAGCTTTCCCTCGGTCACTAATCCAAAGGTTTGCTGGAGTATCAATTCTGTCGCAGCTGCCCAGATGTGCAATCCACATATGTAGTGAAGATCAGATGCATGCTAACAATGTACTGACTGATAAATCTCCAAGGTGTGAGGGGGCGGGGATCCTGGTCACTGCTGACCTCTACAACACCCGAGAAAGAGTAGGACTGTGAGAATGAATTCTTCTGATCACTTTTTTCCCAATGTGCTGTTATAATTTCCAAGTGTGAGTTGTCCAAATTTTGAGAAAGCTTTACTACAGAGGCAATGCAGGAAAGGAAACAAGCCCTATCCCCACAGTGTTGCCAAAGCCTATCAAATGTTCTGCAAGTGTTCTTAGAAGGCTGCCTGGTTGGAGGGAACCAGAAAGGGGATTGATGTCAGCTAGCAGATGGCGAGAGCAACAAACACAACACATGGTTTCTGCGGGCTTCCGGGTACAGGGGGAGCGAGCACATACACTCTCCCAAAGGGCACATAGAATTTTAAGGTATGTACAATGTACTTGAAAGCCTTTTTGTGCACAGGGAAGGAACATTTAAAAATGTGGGATTGCCATGTTTGAATTGTGCTACAAAATATTAGTAATTAATTTCATTAACTCTCCACAAACATAAGGAAAAGTGTTTAGTATGATTTTTACTATGTGGATAAAAATCTTTTTAAATTTTAAGATTTTTTGCCTCTTTGGTTTCAACGGTATGAAAGATGACACCCAATTTGGGGATGTGGGAAAGCAAATTTTAAGCCCAGCATGTATCTGCAACAGCAGCTATAATTTCTGCACTTGGT